ACAAATGAGCCTCCCAGCATCAAGCCCTCCTTGTATCTGGACCTAAGTCTTGACCTCTGCGCTTTGCTCCTCCAAATTATAAAACAGTTCATCCACATTTACCTTTACTCCCATTTAAAACCACTTGCATAATATGGAATCTGTACCAAAACTGACCATAAAGGTGTCGCTTAAAATACACTATCCAGCACCAAAAGGCACAATTTAAGGGAAATTATGTAGAAACTCAACTAAAACATTTGGCGCTGTCCAATATATAAAGTCATTCTGGACCTCAGGATTTCCTTGGGTTAAGCCAGGTTGCGTTAATTCTTCTACCTTGGAATGGCAGATGTTTGCTGGACATTTTCCCCCATTTATTCACACTTTAACTATATTTTTAGCTACGATCCAGTAAATCAACGACTACCTAAGTAGCCCCGGATATGAACTAGTGCTAAAGTACACTAGAAGATAAATAAACACAGAACATGTGGGTGAATTTCTCTGTAAAACAAAACAGGGTGTGTGTGGATAGAGGAAATATTGTTTGTAGTTATATTAATATTACAAAGCAGCCATTATGAAGTGTTGATGCTCCACTCAGCAGGAACAGCCAGTCTCCCCAAACCACACATGCCGCCCACTAATCAAACCCACAGAACTCTGTTATAACGCAGCGACAGGATGAAGCTGGAAGCCACCCGGCCGCACCAGCAACACACAAGACGCCTCCAGTCCTGCTGAGTAATATGACTGCGATTCTTGGCTTTATTATCATAAGGGAACCTCAAAAGGGGGGATTCTGGACCGCTCTGCTCCCCACCTGTCAGGGGTGACGTTTGGACAAGTGTTGGGGTCTGGGGAGCACTTCCTCCTCTGAGAAGCTGCCCACTCTTTCCCTCTCTCTGCTACATCTGGTCTCCTCCGGGCCGTTGCTGGCGGCGGTTGAGGGCAGAGCAACCGCAGAAGGCTTTGTCCTCATTGAGGAGCAGCTGAACCAACAGGAAAGCCAACTCCAGCCAGTCAATTAATTGATGGAACAATTTAAAATTATGGGAGGCTCTCAGCAGGGGGAAGGAAAATGTTTACAAATGATGTGCCATAATTGCTCGTTACATTCCCCGTTTTGATTCGCTCGCCCTTTTTCTTTCTTGTCTTTCGCTGCTATTGTTTTGTTTTTCTTTCGCAACTTGTCAAAGCAAAATGTGGAAATGTTTGCAGAAAATACACGGCTGCCATGGGCCGGCAGAGTCAACAGTTCACCACATGCAGCTAATCACTGTGTATTTGCAACGTATCCTGTCTGAACACCCAGATGAACCCAAATCACTTCCATACAGCCACTCTGTAAAAACGGCTCCGACCGAGACCACATGAATGCGCCAAGCGCCAGCTCAGACCACATTAAAACTTTCTTGATCATCAGGTCCTGTGCCTCCGCAGCCCCATCTGTGCCCAGCTGTGGGGGTTTCTTCTTCAATTAACCAACATCCAAAGACCCCCATCTGTAGACTACAGTCACACCGAGCTGCATTGAAAAGCGAGAGACCTCAGCCTTTCACTGCGAGCCACACAGTAGGGCAGTGTGAAGCCCCCGGGGCCTTTGTTGCATCTTTAAAATAAGTCTGTTTCATTCTCAAGCAGCATCTGTGTCCATTCAACTGTCATTTCGCAAAAGGAAAGAACGCTTTGAAGCCATCTCGTCGGAAATAATAGCGCCGAACGCTTCTGTTTGCAGAAGCAGCTGCAACACCATCACAAAATAAAAACCCACCAACAGAGATGCATCGCACAGAAAAGGGAGAATCAGAGAGTGCGGAGGAAGCTCAGCCGCTAAGGGTGGGAGTGAAATGTGCTTTGGACTTGGTCTGAGAGGGAAGAAGCTTACAGTCGGAAAGAACAGGAGTGACTCAGAGAGGAAGAGGTGGGAATGCGAATGGAGAATTCTAGGGAATCCCACTGAGATAGCTCTCCTTGCTGGTCTGCGCCGCGCCAAAGAATTCAGACGAGCAAACCATATGCCTGACAAGTCACATGTAAACTCCGAGCGAAGACGAAACAGCGGTCGAGAATCTGAATCAGAGCAGAAAATCAAAGACGCATCAGTTTGCTTGTTATTCTGGCGCACGTCCTTCTGGACAGACGAGCCATTCAGAGGGCATCGTCGACTCGTCTGATTCTGGTTTCATGGCTCTGATTTGTGGCAGACGTGTTCTCGTTTCTGCAAATCATTACAGAAGATGCTCCGCTGCGACTTTTGCATTCGGCCGCGTGTCATCGCATTTACTGCTGCACGGAAAAGTGGTCCAGATTACGCCAAGAGCTACGTCTGCATGACGGAATCCAGGAATGACCAGACAAAGCAATGAGCCGTGCAGGAATGATGTAATTTATGACTCGTGTTATGCCACTAGCCGTGTTTGTGTCTGACATAATTTAAGAGAGATCAGCTGTAGTGAATAATGGAAACCTGTCTCGTGTAGTCAGGGGGCAATTCTCACCCAAAGTGTCGGTTTTACCAGCTTGCTTGCGATATTTTTCCAGTTTAATAGCTGGCAAACATCTGCAACATCTGGTTCATATGGACAGGGAGGGGGGGGTTGTCTGCAAAGGAGGGTACGCCAACAACACAAACAGCTACGGGCCTGTTTAAACGCAGCATCACTCGCAACCTGCCGGGGAAGAAATGAATCGGCGGCGATGTGTCAAAAAAATTGACTTGACTACGATGTCGCGATGACGCTCTCTGGGCCCGTTACAAGCTCACCAGCCTGGTGTGCACAGCTGTGCAGGGCTACACAAAAAAGCACATCAGGACAATGTGCAGAGAAGCTTCTCCACTTAGAGCACGGCCTTCCTATAGAGCTTCCTCTCCTGCCTCCTGCTCTCCAACAGGGAGGGAATGCAGCGAGCTAACCGACAAGAGAGACTGCACGGATGACACGACACAGCGTTGAATAATTCTAATAGGAAGTTTCCGTAATGAGGAGTTGCTGGTGGGAAAAAGAAAGCACTGAATAATAAATGTGAGCAAATTTTACGCCGTTCTGGATTTCTGTTGTTCTTTGCGAGCGAGTCCTGAGTGGTGCACGGTATCCCAGAGCATCAAGAGGAGAGGTGGTCGGCGGCGGCGGCGGCGAAGGTCCTGCTCTCGTCGGCTTTTCACAGTGGACTCACATTCTTAGCATTCCACCAGGAGACCGCTGCAGTTCATCTCCAACTGCAGCGACAAACTAATTCGCAACCTCACGGACTCCCGCAGCGTTCAAAGTGAAAGTTGTGTACAAAAAAAAAAGAAAGAAATGCTGCGTTACATTTCAAGACAAAGACGTAACCAGTGAGGCCAGTTTTCTGAATCTGCTTCTGAGAGACAACCACACAGGACATTAAAGTGAGAATTGCTGCAAAGCAACAGAAGCAAAGCAGCCATAACATGCTTGATTTTACATTCTACATATTCCTGTGCAACTGTGTGAATGCTGAGTTCTTATTTAAAACAGGGCTGCACAGTATGCTGTCCTAGCACCGACACTGTGGTGTGCTCACAGGAAGTGCGATGAAAAATCAACTGAAAAACATCACGCAACAACTTTTTATGCTGCTTAATGCAAAAAAAAGAAAGAAATGTCTGTCTTGTAACTGCTGCAGCTACACCAGACGACTAATTTGTTCTACACTTTAAATCAGAACCACAAAGCTCTGCAAACGACGAGCGCCATTCAAAGCAAAGCACTATTTCAGCGGGTTCTTCTCCTCCAACATCATCCCAGTCGATCTAGAATGTCGTATTCTTTCTAAATAGAGTCATCTGAGACGTGTTTTAAACACTGCAATGAATATTTACGTCGCAAACATCAGTTGTCGTGCAGCCCCAGTTGAAACCAAACCGTAAAGATGTTATCAGAAGCTTGCTGCAGTTGGCCATCCAGCATCTCCAGCACAATAAATCAACCTCCGTGAGATCCCTTCTTGTTGTCTCCCCCTATTTCCTACCAGAAACAGCTCCACTATTTAATCTGGCTCTCCCTGATGGAGGAACACACGACCCCTGGACTGGATTCAGGTGAGATCCTGGACGTGCATCCAGAAGAAGGGCAACCGTCTGACCCTGCCTCCAGTCAAAACAACGAGCTGCTCTCATCTAAACCTTTTGGCTGTTTGTGTTGAAAAAGGCACAAAGCAAACAGCTGAGGGGAAAGAGAGACAGACAAGGAGTCAAACACAGCAGAACAACAACAAAGTGCTTCATGTGAAGGAGCCACGTTTGGAGAGAAACATCATGTAGAAGTAAAGAGGAGGTCAGTGGTTCAGGCGGGACTGCTGCTGCTGTAATGCACAAACACGACTTGACCCGTTTTAACTACAATAACAAACAAAGGAGGCAGCTGCCCGTCCGCACACAGTTACGGGACACTGCTCGCTGGTCGGCTGCACACTCCGGTGACCTGTGGAGCCGCCTGTCAGCTCAGCCGAGCCTCGTTCTGCCCCAGAGAGGCTCGGCTGGAGCTAACTGGCTAAGCTAACGTCAAGCTAGCCAACTTTCAGTGAGCCCCGTCAGTCCGGCACAGCGGCGTCGTGTAGCGCCGTCGAGCTGAAAATACCCCCGGCTCGATCAGAAATGCAAGTTATCGTGTCGGGTTTCGTTTAAATCTACAGCCGGGCAGCGTTATCCGCGCCGCTCCGGGACCCGTGTTATGCCTGGTGGTGCTCACTGGCGACAATGGCTGAGACTACTTCCAAGAACAATAATGTCCACATTCAGCGCACGTTCAGCGAGCCGGCTTTTCTACACAAAGCAACACTGGAGGGAAAAACAACAACTAACATTCACATTCACGCCTGTATGTGTTTTTTTTTACACTGCGGGGTGTTTATAAAATTGTGGAAATGACAGGAGAAAGAACCGGCGGTAAGCCAACTCCATGGCCCATGGGAGCTGTTCCCATCCAGCAAGTACACGGCGCCCTCCTAGCTAGTGTGTGGGAATATTGGGGGGATTTAAAAGCATTGCTAGCTACCTGTTAATCGCAGCTTCACGGGGCCATTCCGCCGAACTCCTTGGTTAGACATGTCCTCTTGATCCCAGCCTTCACTGCACGGAATCAAAACGTGTGGTTAAGTGTTAAAAAAAAAAAAAAAAAAAGAAAAGGAAAAAAAAAAACCTGCAAGGTTTATCAACCTCTCCGCCAGTTTTAGACAATAATGGAGTCAAAGCATTGTGGCCCGGATGTGGACTGAACTGCCATAGCGAGAGCTCACAAATGCGAAAAAATTAAAAAAGAAAAAAAAAAAGAAAGAAAAAAGTGTAGCGCTGCTGCTGCAAATTGCATTCACTAGAAAGGAGTTTTCCGGCGACTGGAGGAGCTGCGGTGGAGTCGCTGCTTGTCTTCACATCTTCGGAGGGGGGAGAGCCTCAGCCTCGGACTCGGTCCTCCTCTCTGCGCGGCGAGAGTTGAAGTGCGGAGCCTCCGGGGGAGATCCGCTGGAGGAGGCTGCTGCTGCTGCTGCTGCTGCTGCTGCTGCTGCTGCTGGGAGCTCACCGCTGACGACAGCACTCTCTGGGGGAGTGAAACATTTCAGGAACATGTGGCACATAACTGGGAAGCAGCACACAGGTCCCAGTGTTGTGCTGTGATGAGCAGCCCAGATCACCGGCTCCGGCTTTGATGGCATCAGTAAACACAGCCTCCATTTATAAAGCTTTATGACTCCTTTTTTTTCTTTTTTTTTTGTAGCAGGGGCGTAGCTTCAATGTGTGGAGCTCTAAATCTCTGACTCGGGTGGCCAAGCTGGGACTATCATTTATTTTTTTCCATTTTTCTTTTCTTTTTATTTGCTTATGCAGGCAAGACTGCCATGTAGAAGTTTAATTCAATTCATTTATAAAGAGCCAATTCACAACATGTCACCTCACAGCTGTGCTCAACCCTTACATAGTGTTTCAGGTCAAAATTGACACCCTTAGCATCGTTCTTTTAGCCTGAAATTTGATGACTTTGACTAAAGTGACCCAAAATAAATACATACATCCATCATCTCCACACCGCTTAATCCTCACCAGGGTCATGGGGGGCTGGAGTCTATCCCAGCTGACTCAGGGTGAAGGCAGGGGATCACCTGGACAGGTAACCAGTCTATCACAGGGCTACACTTAGAGACAGACAACCAAGCACACTCACATTCACACCTACGGACAATTAAGAATCACCAATTAACCTCAGCATGTTTCTGGACTGTGGGAGGAAGCCGGAGAACCCGGAGAGAACCCACGCTGCACGGGGAGAACATGGAGATTCAATTCACTTTCATTTATATAGCACTAACATGTCACCTCACAGCTGTGCTTTACCCTTACATAGAGTTTCGGGTCAGATTTGGCCCGTTTTGACATTTGACAGCAGGAAAAATACCCTAAACATCGTTCTTTAAGCCTGAAATTTAATGACTTTGACTAAAAAGTATGGATTGTCTGCACATAATCCAAAGTCCTTGTTAGGAGGAGAGATCGTATATAAACGTTCTCCACCATCCACAGCATCAGAGTTCACCACTAAGGGTTCCAGTAGATGTTTGGACGTGGGGATGTTCTAAATTCTCAAAAGTCAGGAATAATAACGGACATCTGATCTGTAACCAGCTGGTCTATCCTAAAAGAACAGAGCAAAGTCACAGCCTTTCAGAAACATCCATGAGTGTTTTTCTGTACTTGATATGTCGATGCAGCTGTTTATGGTCGTATGAAAAGAACTGCATGTGCATCCGGTGTCCTTCTTCCAAGTCCTCATCATGTAAAGGTTAAAGCATTGTCCCTCAGGAAATCTAAGCATCAAACACTTCATTTCCTCATTTGTGGCTTTTCTGCATCATATTATCGTGAAAAATGTCTTAATGTATGTAAAGAAAAAACACATTTCAGGCACAAATCAGTAAATATTCACCAGTTTTCCATCCACCACATAAAAAACCTGAGTGGGGGAAAATAAAAAGGTTGAAAAATTGCAAATATTGGCCGAGGTGGAAAAGCTGTAAAGCAAAAGTGCAGATTGACTGACTGGAGATGAAGAGTTGTGACGGATAAAAACTTCCACTTTAATACATGAAACAAACATAAAGGCCAGATTTCCATCACATAATCATTTCTTCTTTTTTTTTTTTTTTTTTTTGACGGATAAAAACTTCCACTTTAATACATGAAACAAACATAAAGGCCAGATTTCCATCACATAATAATTTCTTCTTCTTTTTTTTTTTTTACAGCTGTTTTCCACAGCTGGAGGTTTGACTGATCTCCTCTTCTTCCATAACAGCGTGAGTTCATCCAACTGGACGATTGGCGCCACCAGCTGTTTGTCTCAATGAACTCTTATTTGCATAACAGTGAGGATGGAAATGCGCATCAGTGAAGCTTTTGGAAAGTCAGTAAAAACTTGCTCAGTTAGCTGGAAACTTGGCTGTTTAGATCATAATAGTGGGAAAAAGGGGTTATTAATAAGCTACAATGGCTCTGTTGTGTTCAGGTCGGTGGAAGAAGTGTTCAGATCCTTTATTTAGTGAAAACAGCAAAGTAAGAACACTGAATATCAGATGAACAAACAAGGTGGTTGGAGTATTAAAGCAGACTGGTGTGTTATTCTAAATGGTATTAGATGACTAACAGTGAAGCATCAGCAGCATGTTGCTGCTGCAGCTGCTGCAAGAGGAACTAGTTTAAACTACTTTATATGAAGTTTTATGTTCAGGGACGACAGATGAATCTGAGAGTTTGTGACAAGATTGATGACACAAACCGGTTTTCAGTTTTTGGACTTTTTTTGATGACTCATCAACATTTATTGTAATGAATGTGACAACTTTAGAAAAAAAAACACTGATTGCAC